ACTGCCCCGGGCCGCCGGCAGCCGAGGTCCCGGCCCTCGTTTACAATTGTAGCTGTTGTTCCAAATCCTTCGACAGCAGTGCCCTGCTCGGTGCACACATGCAGCTTCACAAGCCCACGCAGGAGCCGTTAGTGTGCAAATATTGCAACAAACAGTTCACCACCCTCAACAGGTTGGATCGGCACGAACAGATCTGTATGAGGTCGAGCCACTTGCCCGTTCCCGGAGGAAACCAACATTTTTTAGAAAACTATCCCACCATTGGACAAAATGGAGGTTCGTTCACAAGTCCTGCACCTCTATTATCTGAAAATAGGATTGGCGAATTTTCCAGCACTGGAAGTACCTTGCCAGACACGGACCACATGGTTAAATTTGTTAACGGGCAGATGCTGTACAGTTGCGTGGTGTGCAAACGGAGTTACGTGACTCTATCCAGCCTCCGGAGACACGCAAATGTTCACTCGTGGAGAAGAACATACCCTTGCCATTACTGCAACAAAGTGTTTGCCTTGGCCGAGTACAGGACAAGACACGAAATTTGGCATACGGGAGAAAGACGGTACCAGTGCATTTTCTGTCTTGAAACTTTCATGACCTACTATATCCTGAAAAATCATCAGAAGTCTTTCCATGCCATAGATCACAGGCTCTCCATCAGTAAAAAGACAGCGAATGGAGGCTTGAAGCCTAGTGTGTACCCATATAAACTGTACAGGCTGCTGCCTATGAAATGCAAGAGAGCTCCTTATAAGAGCTACCGAAATTCTTCCTATGAAAATGCCCGAGAAAACAGTCAAATGCACGAGTCTGCACCTGGTACCTACGTTGTTCAGAATCCACACAGCTCTGAACTGCCTACGCTGAATTTCCAGGACAGCGTGAATACCACCTTGACCAGTAGTCCAGCCGTCCCACTGGACACATCTGCATGTCAGAACACACCTACTTCCGCCAACATACACAGTACTGAGGGCTCCAAATGGGGAGAGGAGACGTTGAAAATTGACCTCGACAATAACTTTTATTCAACCGAGGTGTCAGTTTCTTCCACTGAAAATGCAGTGAGTTCTGACGTCCAGGCAGGGGAGGTACCTGTTCTGTCTCTGAGTAACGGCAGTGAGAACTCAGCCTCTGTGATCAGCTACAGTGGCTCAGCTCCCTCGGTCATTGTGCACAGCAGTCAGTTTTCATCCGTGATAATGCATAGCAACGCCATTGCTACCATGAGCAGGAGTCATCCCACAGCCCCTTCAGACCTAGCTGCCGGTCAGTCCCTGAAAGACGATGGCAAACCTGAGCCAGACAAAGTGGGGAGGTTTACGACCAGACCCAAAGGCATTAAAGAGAAAAAGAAGACTCTACCATATAACAAGGGAGAAATACCGGAGGAGTCAAAATGCGTCACTGATCCTGGAGAGTCATTGAGCAAAACCACAAGTACGGCTGAAGAAACCAGTAAAATCGAAACCTACATTGCGAAACCTGCATTGCCTGGAACTTCCACAAATAGCAACGTTGCCCCCCTTTGCCAAATAACAGTGAAAATCGGGAATGAAGCCATTGTGAAAAGGCACATCCTCGGATCTAAGTTGTTTTATAAGAGAGGGAGAAGACCCAAGCATCAAATGCAGGAAGAGACATTGCCACAGGAGAGTGACCCAGAAGCCAATGCCGAGAGCCCACTCGAGCTTTGCCAGTCTGAGTGCGTGGAGATGAGCGAAGTCTTCGATGAGGCAAGTGACCAGGATTCCACCGACAAACCATGGCGCCCTTACTACAACTACAAACCCAAAAAGAAATCCAGACAGCTGAGAAAAATGAGGAAAGTCAACTGGAGGAAAGAGCACGGGAACAAGAGCCCAAGCAATAAGTGTAAATACCCCGCAGAACTAGACTGTGCCGTGGGGAAGGCTCCTCAGGAGAAGGCCTCTGAGGAGGAAGAAAATAAAGAGATGCCCAAGCTGCAGTGCGAACTCTGCGATGGAGACAAGGCATCAGGGGCTGAAAACCCAGGAAGGCCCCACCGGCATGTCACGTCGAGGCCTTACATTTGTGAGCTCTGCACCAAGCAGTTCCAGAGCCCTTCCACACTCAAAATGCACATGAGGTGTCATACTGGAGAGAAGCCATACCAGTGCAAGACCTGTGGGCGGTGCTTCTCGGTGCAAGGGAACTTACAGAAGCACGAACGCATCCACCTGGGCGTGAAGGAGTTCATCTGTCAGTATTGCAACAAGGCGTTCACGTTGAACGAGACCCTCAAAATCCACGAGAGAATCCACACCGGCGAGAAGCGCTACCATTGTCAGTTCTGCTTTCAGAGTTTTTTGTATCTCTCCACCAAAAGGAATCACGAGCAGAGGCATGTCCGGGAGCATAACGGGAAGGGCCACGCCTGCTTCCAGTGCCCCAAAATTTGTAAGACTGCTGCTGCCCTCGGAATGCACCAGAAGAAACACTTGTTCAAAAGTCCAGGTCAGCAGGTGAAGACGGGTGACCCGTGCCACGAAAACTCGAATCCCTCGGAGACTCCGCCTTTCATCGATGGGGAAGACAATGACCAAAAGGATCACGTACAAACCATTGTCGGAAATGTCCTTTGAGTAGGAATAGTTACAAACATCTTCCAAAATATCGGTTGGTGTGGGTTTTTTTTTTTTTTTAAGTGTGTTTTTTCATTTCGTTTTGTTTTGTTCTCATACCCGTCATGAAGCAGTGAAATGTTTGCTTTTTTTCTTTTTTTAATCTCATGTGTAAAAAATTCCAGAAAAAGGATCCTAATATCTACTTTGGGTTTTAGCATTAACTTTATGCAAAATGCACACACACACACACACACACACACACACACACACACAAATAGCTGAACCCTTCAATATCCTAAATATCTCATGAAAGTTCATAAAATTCTGAGCTGTGGTATTTCTACCAGTGGAAAAAAGGAGTTTAATTTTAGCCTAACTTAAAACTTTCTAGTAAATGCTGAACTGTCTTTAGTCACTGGAGAAAATAAGAGTCAAATATCATGAAGATGGCATGTTCGAAATGTGTTCAGTGGTAAACAAGTATTCCCATCCTTTATTTCTGCGCTATTGAGATTTGTTTAAGTCAATGGATACATAGGAGACAATATAATCGAAAATATGTGTGTGATGAGTAACCTGCAGTAGGACATGCATTTGTGCTCTAAGACTACTCTTCTGCAACACAAACCTTGTAAATTACATATATATAAGTCACTATAACTTTGTACTGTTTGTATCCCCTATAGAGAATTATGATGAGCAGTAGATCTGCAAATAACGAGGACTAATGTAAAAAGCCAGTAGAAAGCATTTTGAGTATGACTTAAGAGCATGCGTATGCTTTTAGATGGAGTGCTGTTCTCTTAAAGTTACGGCTAAGCTGTCGTCAGAACTGGTGTACTCAAGTCACAGAAAACCTAGGTCATGCCTTATCTAGGGGAGAAATGTACCTGTGATTACCTGTCCTGTATATTACTTTCCAATGGCTTCACCCCAGAGAATGAAGAAGGGTCAGATTCTTCTGAAACTCTCTGCAGTCTTCCAGCCATCCCAAGGTCATGGATCTGGGGAGTTTATCCCAGACAGACTTCCGGGATCTGACATCTCCCATCCCACTGATGGAAGGGCCAGGAGATTTATCACAAGGCGCACATGTAGTACTGAATCCCCGGGCATTTGAGAGTGACAGAAAGCCTGATCCCTACAATTACTGGTCTTCTTGGAGACAATGCAGCAGCCCACAAGTACCTTCTACTATAAAAGAAAAGGGCTGCAAGACTCCCCGGGGACCCCACCCTTCCCATGAATGACTTGCATGGGCAAGAGGAAGGGGCAGCCTTCCTTGTCTCAGTGGTAGCTCTGTTTGTAGGGGGGGGTGCAGCGGGAAGGTAGGATATGGAGTGATGAGGTTCCACTCCTTACTTGGGTCCCTCAAAAAGAGACACACAGAGCCAGACACTTCGTCTTCCTATTTGCGGACACCTAGCCCCTTGCTAGAGCCCACTTACGTTCTTAAATGTTCTTTAACACTAACCTACACCTAAACATGGTCCTCAAAATCTAACTTCCCTATAGAATAGTCTATCATGTGGGCTAGGTTCCTGGAAAGCAGGAAGTCAGGAGTCTTTAAAAACTGCCAGACTAGGAAGGAGAGAGAAAACAGTCCTACCTACCTTTCGATCACCGGTATGAGCAGAATTTGGAACCCACTTCAGGGGTGACCCGCAGCCACTTAGGTTCATTGGATTTGATAAACTCAAGGTCATCCAAAGCCGGAAAGTTATCATTATGAAGAAGTGGCTCAAAGGACTACAGTTTGTCTCCACAAGTGTTTCAGTGTCTCTGTAAAGAAGACTTAGTATGGATCCGGGTGGGCAAGAAAGCGTTTACACACCCAGAAAAGGACATGATGGAAGTTGACCTTTTTATACCGTAGAACTTGCCGTTAAGGAGCCCCAATATTGTATGTGCGTTTATCGTTTGTTCATCCACATTCACTTCCATACAGTGTTACATGGTAGCGGAAAACGAGAACAGTGAATTCGCCTTTCCTTTCGACATTGTGTATATGTCTAACTGCACTCTCCATTTGGGTTTTGTTAAAGAGATCATCGCGAAGGGCTGATGGAAATTATTTTTCACTCGACAATTAGAATCCTGACTAAGCAATCCCGTGACCCACTCCTTTGTTTGATCTCAGTTAGGGTCACGAATCCAGGAGAACTACTGCCTCTGTTAGTTGTTTCGATCTGAGGTAACTCCAAATTTACAGTGAGTCCGTGTAGTAATGTCCCCTGGCCTATACGTGTGCAGATTTTCTAAGTGGACTTGTACGCTGATAATTCTAGACCAAAGTAAATATGGCAGAATATTTATACATGAAAAAATAATTTTGCAAATATTTTCTACAATTGTATTATTCGTTTAAAATGTTGATAGCTTGTGTTAGTTTCAGGGAGGGGGTGTATATTTTGATAAAAAAAAAATACTTGACTTTGTAATTCTGTATATTCTATACAATTTATAGCAAAGCCGTTTTAAGACAGCCTCGTCACTTTTTCTTTCTTTTCTTTTTTTTTTTTTTTTTGCTAATCGTGGAAATTTTATTATGAGTGAAGTCGAAGTATGCCTTGGGTCCATAATGACCAGCTAGAGTTACAGTTACGTGTAAGCGGTGAACATACTGTATGCTGTACAAGATCTATTGTCATTTGCTGTTTTAGCATCTGTATTTTGGTTAGAAGATATTATTAAATGCAGATGTTAAGGGTTGAAAAAGTCTAATTTTATTTTTAGAAATACGGAATATAAATTTGTTTTTGCTTGATTAAAATAGCTTATTCCTACGTGAAGTCTCGTTTTAAATGCCTTCATGTCCATTCTTTTGTGCAGCTATTTCATCTGTGTGAGCCACAGCTCGACTCACACTCATTCATTCAATATATTTCAGTTTCCTTATTGACATCTCATGGCATCTACTTACATGCTTAGGACTCAAATGGATTATGGCATTAAAAAAAGAATAAGGTATTGAACTCTTCTGATAATTGCTTTTGATATACTGATCCCTTTTTTTTTAAAGAATTATTTATTTTATTTGTTGTTATTTTTTAATTCGACCAGAGAGAGAGAGAGAGAGAAAGGTTAAGTGAGAAAGCAAGCTGCCAGGTTTGGGACTTGAACCATGGTTGACCGTGTATGAGTCCAGCACCTTCACCACCACGTCACCTGCCAGTCCCTAGGCCTGATCTTAGAATAATAAAGTGTGAAATGCCCCCATGGAAATACTCCGTTCTACACAGAGAACAGAAACATGCGAGTGCCAGGCATTTGACGACGTTCTTTCCATAGGCCATTTAGCTCATGTTCCCTAGTGCAAGCAGAGTCACTACCCACATTTTATAGTGACTGAAAAGATCCCACAGCCAGACAGAGCCAGGGTTCCAACCAGGTTTATCTGACTCCAAAGTGCATGAGTTTGTTCCTTTTCTCCTTAGAGAAAAATGCTTACTATAAACTGAGTGGCGTGTGAGGAAACGCAGCGTTATGAAGAAAGGCAGCTTTAAGAGGGCTTAATCAGAGAGCAAAAGGGTCTGATGTGCTGGAAAACCTCACTCGCACTGCAGAGTAGTGAACAGACTGTATGACGGGGCCAGGGTGGACACGGTCGGATGCAGGCTGGGCAGCAGAGCTGGGAGATGACAGTAGCTTAGGTGAGGGTAGGACAGGCGGAAATAAGAACAGCTCACATTCTTAATATAGCTTTAAATATGGAAAATTTCGAAACCAGATTGTGCAATGGTTACGTCATTGGACTCCCACATAGTCAACTGCGGTTCGATTCCTGGACCCGGCAGCTTAAAACTCATGCTCAGTATGGTGTGTTCATGCCCAGAATCCTGAGAGGAGAATGAGGAGAAGGGATTGAAGCATGGCCATCCCTCCACTGCCCCCCCCGGGGGGGGTGATTTCTCGCTTTCTGTCTCTGTCTCTCCATCAAGTACATGTGCCCTATAGCAAAAATCTCTCTCCTTAAAAAAAAAAAAAAAGGAAAATGACAAGCATCTGGAAAAGTAGGCGAGTTTGGTGAGTCCCGGTCCCATTATCTTACTCGAATCAACAACTCATGACCAGTCTTGGTTTTATCTGTACCCTCCCACTTCACCTCTGGATTGTATTACTGTGAAGTGGATCCTAGACATACCATTTCATTTGCAAATATGTCAGTACGCCTGTCTTAAAAAGTAAGCATTTGGGGCCAGCAGGTGGTATGGTGGTTAAGGCGCTGGACTCCCACAATGGCTGACTACAGTTTGAGTCCTGGACCTGGAGGCTTGCTTTCTCACTTTCCCTCTCTCTCTCTCTCTCTGGTCAAATGAAATCATAATAATAGTAATAAATAAAACTAAAAAATATTTTTTTATTTTAAATGTAAACATTTAAAATATACCCATAATATTATCACACCTTGACAATGAACAGTTCCTTAATATCATCAAATTAAATTTTCTTATTGTCTCATGGTTGTCATAATTTTTGTTTCTGACCATTTTTTTTGAGAGGTTTTTGCTATAGGGCACGTGCGCTCACCAGACAGGCAGAGAGAGACACAGAGACAGAAAGCAAGAAATCACCCCTCAGGGGGGATGGTCACGCCGCAATCCCTTCTCCTCCATTCTCCTCTCGGGATCTTGGGCACGCACGCACACGCGCCAGGCGTGAGTTTTAAGCCACCGGATCCGGGACGCAAACCGCGGTTGACTACGTGGGAGTCCAGCGACATAGCCATTACGCTAACTGCTGGTTTCCTGTTTCTTACCATTTTAATTGTAAAAGTTTAGACTCCAACTAAAGTCCAGCCCTGCAGTTAGTTGATATATTTGTCTTTTAACCTGTAGGTTTCCTTCTCGTCTCTTTTTTCTCTTTGCAATTTAGTTTTGAAGAAATTAGTCATTCAGAATTCAGGAATTAGCAGGCCAACTTTCTGGGTTGGGTTTTATTTCATTAGGAGGCACATACTGTGGGGCTGAACTATTGGGTAAGTTCTGAAGAGAGATCTGATAGCATTTGCTGCTAGTTTAGGTACCAGGAGGATGAGAAAGATGACACCAAGGTGCAGCCAGAACAGGTGGAAGAGTGGAGTTGCCAGGAGACAAGATGCAAGTCAGAAGTTCAGAAGAGGGGACTGACGGGAGGTATGGGTTTGAAGATTGTGTCTCATTCATTCCAAACATACGTGAGGTCCAATCACTGTCGCCCAGTAGGTCACACGTCAGACTGCAGAGCTGGAAGCCATATGCCTAGAGAAGTTTGAGTCCTTGGCCCAGTCAGCCTGAGAACACGCCAGGGACATGCCTGGGGTCCTGGTGAGCCAGAGGATTGGAGGACGGGGATTCCAGCATGGCGGAGCTCTGTGAAGGGTGCTTCTCTCCCTCATGCATACACATGCACTCCATCATGAATTTGAAAATTAAAGCATGTTTCAGCTAGTTTCTAGGAATTTAAGAGTGGGAAAAGTGAATAGTCCCTGGACCTTATGATCTCATGAGGAACAAAATAACTCCAGCCACCATAAGTGCCATGAAGAAGAGCTGCAATGATGCTATGAGGACAGTTAATGCGGGAATATAACCCACTCTGGGAGGTCAAGGGGAGCCATCCTTGAGGAAGTCGCTTTGAGATCTGAAAGACGAATATTGAAATGAGAGTGTCTCCGGGTGGAGGGATAGTACAGTCCAAGGAAAGGGACACAGTGACTGCAGATCAGTACCCGAGTTGCAAGAGAAATGCACGTAAGATCAGACTGGACAGCAGGAGCTACACCATGCAAGGCTTTCCAGGTCATAGCGAAGGTGTGCGTCTTATACTGGGGCAACGGAAAGCCATTGAATGAATGAACGGAAAGCCTTTGTTTAAAGCAGGGGTGTTTCAATTCATTTTTGTTTGTTAGTTTATTCATTTCTTCCATGAGCAAGACAGAGAGACAGCACCCCCAGCAGGGTCCTGATGCTTCAACCCACCCCCGACCCCAGTCATCTCTGGGTCATGGGCTTACACGTGCCTGACCTACTCACGAAGTTCCCTGTACGTGAACTCAGAACGCCCCCAAGTGGCCAGCCCCAGAGTGTCATGTTTTACCACCACACGGCCATCTGGCCCCTGAGTCAAGTTTATATTATAAAAAAAGTGACTGTGGCCGACATGTAGGTAAGGGCTTGGCAGACAGTAGTGACCAGAAGTCCAGCCGTTAGGAAGCCCTCACACTGTCCAGGATAGAAATGATCATGACTCGGATCATGTGGTTGCAGTTGGGAGAGATGCAGGACATAGAATCAGCAGGACTTGATATGGGATTGGACATGGGAAGTGAGGGCGAGGGAGGGATCAGGATAGCCTTTTAGTTTAGGGATGTACGGTGTCCCCCGTGGAACATGTATAGAGAAAGGAGACAGAACGCCAAAAAATGCTAATGTTAGAAAGATCAGTCGAAACCCTATATAGGAGACTGAGGCAGAGACGAGACCAGAGAAGTAAGAGGACAAGTGAGGGAGTGGCAAGTGAGAAGTCAGAAAAGGAGAACCTCTAAGAAGAGAATGATCAGTTGTGTCCAGTGGAGATAAAGCCAAGGAAAGAAAGTCTGGAAAGTGACCTTTGCATCAGCAAATGAAAGGTCATTGCCAGCAAGGTGCTGGAAAATATTAAACAACAAACTCTCAAGAGAGAAGGAAATCCCTGATGTATATAGTGTTTGCCAATTCCTATGGTGTAAATACTTCCATAGCTGATTTTTTTTTTTTTTTTTTTTTGAGAGAGGTTTTTGCTATAGGGCACTCGCCAGAAAGACAGAGCGAGACAGAGACAGAAACTGAGAAATCTCCTCCCAGGGGGATGGCCACGCTGCAATCCCTTCTCCTGCATTCCCCTCTCGGAATCTTGGGCATGCACGCACACGCACCTGGCATGAGTTCAAGCCACTGAGTCCAGGACTCAAACCGTGGTTGACTACATGGGAGTCCAGCGACGTAGCCACTATGCCACGTGCTGGTCCCCCAGGCTGATGGTTTTAAGCTAGTAACATGATGTCACTCAACTTGGAATTGGGAAGAGATGCATTCAGTTGACTCATGAGAGCTGGTTTGGGCCTGTGTAACTCAACTGGTGACCTTGGCAAGGCAGTTTCAGTGTGGTGGTGCAGGTGGAAGCAGATGGAGGAGTGAAGGTGGGACTTGAGGACTCCTATTTCAAGAAGATGGGAAGAAAGAGAAAAGTAACTAAGTAAACCTTAGGTTCAAAGATTAAGGCTAAAGAATCTGTGTTCTTCAGGGCTGGCAGGTGGTGTGGTGGCTAAGGGTGCTGGACTCACACATGGCCGACTGGTTGGAGTCCTAGACCTGGTGGTATGCTTTCTTTCTCTCTCTCTCTTTCTCTCTCTCTCTCTCTGGTCAAATTAAATTAAAATAAATAAATAAAGCTAAATAACATAATTACTGAAAAAATAAAGAATCTATGCTCTTGACAAATATTTTCCAATTTGCCCTTCCCAACAGTCCTGTCGTGGTGGCAAATTATTG